AATGAAGAGGGATGAGACACACTTTGAAGCAGAGCCCGTAGGACTTCCCAATAGCCTGGATGTGGGTATAAGGGACAAAGAGGAATACAGGACTCCTAGGTTTCTGGTCTGTGCAACCAGACAAATGGTGGGGCCATCAGCATTTGACAGCTTTACCACTTTCTCCTTCTAGAGATACTCTTCTTCACTTAACAGTACTTTTCATTTAAATCTACAATCCTGCTCCATCCAACTGCCTGTTCATTATATTAACTAAAAGTCTTGTCAGAATCCAAAACAGAACTGAAGACTGCTCCCCCACTGCGATCTACTTAGGCAAATCTGCTCCTACAGCCTTCCTCGTCCTTCTGGAGTCTCCACTCATCCCACTGACTCCTGTTTTACATTTGCCTTATTATCTCAACCTATTTCCTATGTAGTTTCCCTTCTTTTGTCGCTGGTGATTTATACTTGTCAAATAACTGTAGCTCTAATTTACTGAATGCTTTCTGTGCACAGACACTCTTTGTGCATTATCTCATTCACTTCCCAGCAGTCTAATAAAGTCAATTCTATTCTCTCCACTTGACAAATGGAGAAAACGGAAGCGCAGAGAAGTTAAGATATGTATCCAAGGCTGAATAACTAAGAAGTTCTGGAGCGGAGATTCAAACTCAACCATTAGGCGTTGGCCCGGTGGCATAGCGGTTAAGTTCGTCCACTCCGCTTCGGCGGCCAGGGGTTTGCAGGTTCAGATCCCGGGCGCCGACCTACACACCGCTCATCAAACCATGCTGCGGCAGCATACCCGATACAAAATAGAGGAAGATGGGTGCATGTTAGCTCAGGGCCAATCTTCCTCACCACAAAACAAACAAACTCAACCATTAACCACTATCAACCACAATAAACTGTCCTTATATGAACAACCAGGACTGGCCTCTACACACGGTACATGCTCGGTCACTCTTACGGCAAATGCGTGTCTACAGAAGTCCTCTGGAACAGCAGCAGTTGCTGGGTAACATGTTTGCAAACAGGGAAGCTCTTGCAGTCCCTTCTTTGTAAAGTCAGAATTTCAGAGTTGAAAGAGCCCTGAGAGATGCAGTCACACTCAGCCCTCCTTTTTGCAGATGGGGAACCAAAGGCCAAGAAACTGCGTGACTGCCCCAAGGTCAGACGGCTAGTTAGCAGAGCAACCCAGGTGTCCTGCAGGTCTTCGCAATGTACAATCATTTCATTCACTCAACAAATACCTGAACGTCTATCAACCCGCAAGCGCTGGAAACTTAACAGAGGCCAGTCAAACCCTTACCTTCATTTCCAGACACTGATAAAGTGCTTGCCCTCAGGGAGCTTATAATCTACTCCCCTCTTTCCAGTCACCCTCCCTTCCTCACTCCTAGATAGGGGATAAATTACTGTGGAGTGGAAGAAGGAAAAATAGACATGCCTTTGCTGTGAAAGGCAGTGCAAAAACCGCTGAGGCACACATTCTGAGAACACACACAGCTGCCGGCTTCGACGCTGGCCTCTATGTTAATCTGACAGAAGGAATGAGTCCCTACTGAGGAAAATGAGCCGTCATGGACACAGCAGTGAACCTGAAGCGAGTGACTTAGATTCAAGTCCTACTTCTTCTAGTTACTTGGTGTGAGACCTTGGGCAAGTTGGCTCCCTTCCTTGACCTTCATCCATAAAATGGGCTACGCACCAGAGCAAGAGATGCAAACTCACATGCTTACAGGGGTCAGGCAATTACGTCAACGAGGGAAGCTGAACTGATGGAGACAACGGCAAAGTAAGATGTAAAAGAGGAAGACGCAGCCGCTACTTAGCTCCAACCAACGCGGGGATGTCTCACTTTTCTATTTTTCAAAAGACATAAATTAGAAATTCTATGGAGGGCCAGCCCCATGGCGTAGCGGTTAAATGAAGTTAATTTTATTCTTTCTGATACTCAAATTGTCCCAAATTTGGCCAATTCTCTGGATTTTTAAACACTGGCAACTGATTTTAAAAAATGTAAAAAAACACTGTACGAGAAATACAGCCCTTTTTTTTTCTTTTTTGTGAGGAAGATCAGCCCTGAGCTAACATGCGTGCTAATCCTCCTCTTTTTGCTGAGGAAGACCAGCTCTGAGCTAACATCTATCTCCAATCCTCCTTTTTTTTTTTTTCCCCGAAGCCCCAGTAGATAGCTGCATATCACAGTTGCACATCCTTCTAGTTGCTGTATGTGGGATGCGGCCTCAGCATGGCCGGAGAAGCGGTGTGTCGGTGCGCGCCCGGGATCCGAACCCGGGCTGCCAGCAGTGGAGCGCACACGCTTAATTAACCGCTAAGCCACAGGGCCGGCCCACAGCCCATTTTTAACCTCTAGACTGTATGAGTTCTCCTGAAGGCCCTTTTTATTATTATTACTCTCTCTTCCAGTTCTCTGACAACCTTGGTCCAACATCACAGTCAGAGACAAAACTGTAGCCAGAATGCAGCCTCTGATTCCCAGGCCACCTTCTATTTCACCAAGGAACCCCAGTCCCCAGAGTTCTCCTGGCCACCTCGAGTTCCCTTAGAGGCAAGTCAATTGGCTTTGTGGAGCCTCCTTCCTATCTGTAGAGGGGAAGAAATCACTGCCCTTCCAACTCCAAAGAGCTGCTACGACACCAGCTGAAAAATGGACATGACAGCACTTTAATAAACTCTAAGACTGTCCACAAATACGGATTCCAAATTATAGATAACCACTTCCTTCCCTCCCAGGACTCTCAGCCAATCTTTTTCAGGTTCTCCACCGAGTTCAGCACTCCCTCAGTCTCCACCCCACAGTCTCCACTCCCTCAGAATAACTCCCATCTCCCAAGAATTCCACATCCTGACTTTGATTTGCCCCTTAGGTCATCTCCTCCTCAGAAGCCCCCGTGCATTATTTAGTGCTCCAAAGAGAAATCACTCCTAACCTGCTGACAGCTCCCTCGATACATTCCAGTTTAATCCTCACCAACTTTACTTCACCCTACTTCAAACAAAACTGCTGCCCCCAATCCCTAGGGTTAACCCTTCTAGTACTTAGGATCCCCTCCCCGACCCTTCAGGACCTCTTAACACTCCAGTCCTTCAAACTGTAGTTCCTAAAATCAACCAACCCCACCTATGTCTTCAGGGTCATTCTCATCATTTAATTTCTAATTTTTCATTTCAGGTGCCTTCAACCCTCGACCAATGCTCGCTAATGCCTCAGGATGACAACTCTCCCCTCAATCGCAGAAGACCCCACACACCTGAAATGAGCCTGCAGTAACCCCCACCTCCCCCATCCACCACCACACACACACACTCTCTCTCACCAAAAAAATCTAGAAGCTTCCACCCCTCAAACTAAATTAACCTGCCTGCCTCCCCGACCCTTAGATCAATTAATTCTATACTCTGTACTCATTCACATCACAGACCCTCCCCATCACCCAGCCTTCATCTCTGAACTCACTCACATACTTCTACTTAGATATATAATAAACATCTAAAACATAAGCCCAAAAGAGAACTCCTGATTCTCCCCTACAGTTTTTCCCATCTCAGTAAATGGCAATTCCATCTTTCCACATCCCTTGGGCCAAAAACCTTGGAGTCACCCTTGAGTTCTGCCTCTCATACCCCACACACTGAATCCCTCAGCAAATCCTGCCCCCTCCACCTTCAAAATATATGCAGAATACAGATTTGACCCCTTCTCTAGGGTCCCAAGCCACCACTATTCATGCCTCAAGTGGATTCTTGCAGCAGTCTCCTAAACGGTAAATCCTTATTTCCACTTCTGCCCACTTCAATCTATCCTCCAAACAAGAGTGAGCCTTTTACAACACAAATCAGATCGTGTTACTTCTCCGCCCCAAAACTCTCCAATGGGTTTCCCGGCACACTTAGGAAAAAAAAAAGTACTCCTCAATTCAGCCACTCGTTCTCTAGTCTGCCAAGCGTGCTCTGGCCTCCAGGATCTTACATTTGCTGTTCTTTATGCTGGGAAGGTTCTTCCAAATGGCCACCTGGCTCCTGCTTCCATCCAGGTCTGAGGGTCAATGCTACCTCTTCAGAGGCCTTCCCTGGCCACCCCATCAAAACAGCTCTCCTACTTCGCCATCCTTCACTGATCCTCTGATCCTGCTTTATTTTTCTTCCTGGCACGTGCATTACCTAACATTATATTATTTATCTGTGTCTCCAACACTAGAATGTAAGCTCCACGTGGGTAAGCTCCACGTGGGTAAGCAGTCTGTTTAGCTCACTGATACGCGCTCCGGGCCTAGAACAGAGCTCATGGCAGGTACTCCACGCATATTTGATCGAAGCAATCATCTCTTTCAAAGATATTCCCTCCGATAACGACTCCTCAATACCCAAGGTACGCCCAACCTTTAGTGACCTGTCCTGCCTGGACACACCCCCAAACCTAGACACGGACAACCTCTTCAGACTCACACTCGAAATAACTTGCTCCAAAACCCTCATTCTTCCAGATCGATCCACCCCCCGGGAGCCACAGGAATGCAAGCTCGCGTCTGTTCGGTTCGCCGGTCTCCCGAGCATCCAGCAGAGAAGAGACGCCCGCCATCTATGAATGAATGAACTACGCCCCCCGCCTTCACCCTTTCCCTGCATTCCCGGCCTCTCCCATGCCCTAAGCACACCGCCCCGACCTCGACCCCACCATCGACCCTTCCGGGGGTCCGAGTCCCTGAGTCTGAATCCTCCTGATCCCTCAGGACGCCCCCACGCCCACTGCCAGAGGCCTCCAATCACTCAGAACCGCCCTCTCATCACCCTGGGGCGCCCCCGCTACCCATACCTTCCAGAAACATACCAAACCAACCCCTCCAGCCCTCTCAGGCGGGCTACCATCCCCGGGGACGTAATTCCCGCCTCCTCCCTTCGAATTAGACTCTCCCGCTCCCGGAGGGCCGCCAACGCCTCAGGCCAGACGCCCCCTCCGGACCCTCCGCCCCACAAGGCGCAGCGGCCCTGACCGTTTCTGGGCCTCCAATCCCCACAGACGGATCTGCCGGTCATACTGCGCCGCCTCCTCCTCGCTGATGCCGCCGCCGGCCTCCTCCTTCTCCACCATGGCGCCGGCTCTCGCTGCCTGAGCGCGAGTTCTGCTCTCATCAACCGTCCGCCGGCCCCACGCGCCACCAACCGCCGCCGGCCGCGCGCCCGCGCCGCGTCTGCGCCTGCGCCAGAGGCCGCGCCTGCGCAGTACCTCTGCCGCCGCCCGGCTCCGCTCCTGGAACCTGGGATCACGTGGGCCTCCCCAGCCTCAAAGGCGGGCCGGGGACTGACAGTCACGTGATGGCAGCTCCGGCCAATCCTGGCTAGAAAAATGGCGCGGCTTATGGCCCCACAAAGATACCCAAATGGTTATTTATGAGGCTATTAATTCAGCAAATATCTGTGGAGCGCCTGCTGAAATCCCCGCATTGGGGCTGCTGTGAAATAGAGTGGCAAATAAAATAGACAAATCCTGCCCTCATGGAGCCTACAAGCTATTGAGGAGGGCCCAAAGAAAAATAAATATAAATCAGGCTGTGATAAATGCTTTGGAGAAAAATAAAGCAGGATATGGGACTACAGAGTGAGGGAAGGTCTCTCAGAGAAGGTGACATGGAGCAGAGATCTGAAGGAACAAGCTATGTGGATAACTGAGAGATGGAACATTTCTGGAGTTGACTTGAAAAGCCTCAAAAGGAGTTTATTAAAGAATAGTAAAAAGAATTGCAACTTCGGATGTGCATGCTATGGGAACCATTGGCAAATTCAACAACAGAGGGGAGCTGCCTTTGTAGACAAAAGCCGGGAGTAGGGGGCCGGCCCCGTGGCTTAGCAGTTAAGTGCACGCACTCCGCTACTGGCGGCCCGGGGTTCGGACACGGCGCGCACTGACGCACCGCTTCTCCGGCCATGCTGGGGCCGTGTCCCACATGCGGCAACTAGAAGGATGTGCAACTATGACATACAGCTATCTACTGGGGCTTTGGGGGAAAAAAAGGAGGAGGATTGGCAATAGATGTTAGCTCAGAGCCAGTCTTCCTCAGCAAAAAAGAGGAGGATTAGCACAGATGTTAGCTCAGGGCTGATCTTCCTCATAAAAAAAAAAAAAAAAAACAGCGGGCAGTAGGGAGGGGCTGTTTTAAAAGAAAGTCCATTAGGGAAAAGTAACAGTTTAGGGTGGCAACAGGCTTCTCATTGGCTGAGCTGCAGCATTTCTCATTGGCTGGGCTGTTGCCCCGTAGGGAAAGAAATCTTCCTTTAGTAGTAAGGTAGTTTTACTTCCTGTCCAAGATGCAAGGCTCTGTGTCTTCCTGTTTGGTGTAATTGAGGATGTGTGATAGGGGTGAGAGCTCCCCCTACAGGCCTTCCTGACTCCTATTTAGTTAAGGTTTCTTTTATTAGTTTCCACACTGGGTAGGGGGAACAGCAGGTGCAAAGGCCCTGAAGCTGGAGTGTGCTAGCATAGTGGAGAAACTGTGGAGAGGGCAGGGTGGCTGGAGCAGAGTGTGAGGGTGGCAAGTGGTAAGAGATCAAATCTCAGATGAATCAGGTAGGGAATCAGGTACGGCCATGTAGGCTAGTGATAGCTAATATGTATTTTCCTTAGGCAAGGTGCCTTTTTATGATTCATTCAACAATACTTATTGACGCTTGTCATGTGTCAACAATTGATCTCTGTGCTAAGGATAGAGCAGTGAAAAAGAAAAAAAAAAGCTGCCCTCTCATGGAGCTGAAATGGGCTTCACATGGATTCTTTCTCTAATCTTACAAGATTAGATAAATTCTTTTTTTTTTTTTTTTAAAGATTTT